GAGGGGCAATTTTGCCAAATTTGGTAATGTTGGGGGACATTTTGGTTGTTATAACTTGTGTGGGAGGGAGTGCTGAGGAGACCAGGGAGACTGCTAAATACCCTACAATGCACAGGACAGCTTACCTCTCAATCATCCTCCTCCTTCTATACCCCCAACAAAGAATTATCCAGGCTGACTGTCAATAGTGCCCAGGTTGAGAAATGCTGTTTAAAGTCATAGTGAAGACTGGCTAACAGTGAGTAAATTGGAATGACACTGAATTGTTTTAAGTTCAGGAATTATTTAAGCTTTAAGGATCATGTGGCTGTTTGTTGTGAACAGACTAAAGGGGTAAGAGGGTATAAAATATTTAGCAGGGTAATACAATTACCAAGAGAAAAAATATGGTTTGGGCCAGAATGCAGGTAAGGGTGCTAAGTGATAGATGTTGAATGTATTTTGAAGGTTGAGCCAACAGGATTTACTAATACACTGGATACATGCCTGTAGGCAGAGGAACCACCTACAAGTAATCTGCTGTGGCTGTTGCTGGAGTTGTGTCTTCCCAAAAGGGACCCGGGGAAGTGGTGGAAAGCTGAACAAATTTGGAAAGGAGGAAAGAGTACCCAATATGGATATTAGGATCAGTAACCAATTGCATCTGTTACATATATATCTTACGAAAATAAGAAAGCACACTGTTGGACCAGTGAATGACTAAGGGCACAATTATTCTATGGACTAAGTTTCTTTAAAAATACTTTTTAGTTTTTAGAAACGCCTTCTCATGCCATCTTTCATTTTGGTGACCGTCTGAAAGATTCCTTATTCTATCAAATTCATTAAAGGGCTCCAATTTTCCTTTCAGTATTTGCATCCCAACCAATTATTGGTGGTTCCTATGCAGAAGGCTGAAGTATTAATAATCTTTTTCTAAGCATTTGTTTGGTTTAGTCTAAAATATAAGCTATGAGTCTTTTTTTTTTTTTTTTTTTCCTTCGACACGGAGTTTCGCTCTTGTTGCCCAGGCTTGGGTGCGGCGATCTCTGCACACTGCAATCTCCGCTTCCCAGGTTCAAGCGCTTCTCCTGCCTCAGCCTCCCCAGTAGCTGGGATTACAGGCGTCGGCTACCATGCCTGGCTAATTTTTTTGTATTTTTAGTAGAGACGGGGTTTCACCATGTTGGCCATGCTGGTCTCAAACTCCTGACCTTAGAGGATCCACCCACCTCGGCCTCCCAAAGTGATGGATACAGGAATGAGCCACCGCGCCTGGCCGATATGGGTCTTTATGTATTAGAAAACTGCTTAATAAAGTCCTCACTTTATTATCATAATCATAACCAATATCCTTATAATCTAATAACTATGGTTATTTTCATTTCACAGACAAAAAAAAAAAATCTGAAGTTTGTTAAGTAATTACGGTGTTAAAATTATCCAACGATTAATGGCAGAAATAGGTCCTGAACCTTTGAGAATTTAAACGCGGTGAGTTACATACAGGCCCTCCTAACTGGAGTGTTCGCTAGTACCACTAGTTGCTCGGCAAGAGCTCGGTAAGTACTGGCCACTTGGAAGTTCGTGGTACTCAGGCTGTGGTACAGACCTAACACTCCTCCTACACAAATGCAGGTCGTGCTTATTTCGTACCAAACTGGTCTGGCGGCGGCTCTTCGTCCAGACGCTGGCGGGCCAGGGTGGAGGTAATAACACTTGTAGCCGCGCCCTCTCCTTCCCCTGGGCGTCTCCGGGGCGTGGACAGGCCGCTGAAAAGAACCGGCTGCGGCCTGTACCAGGCTCCGCGGGCTGCTGCACTGCGAGGCCGAGGCAGCTAGTGAGAAGTTACGAAGGCCCTAAGGAGGGCCGGCTCGGATGCTGGGCCCGCCTCCCCGCGGGATTGTAGGCCCGGGGGCTCCGCCTGGTCCCGAGCGGCAGGCAGGAGGCGGTGCGCGCGGCCCGGCGGCGAGGGACACTAAGGCCCGGTCAGTCTTTTGCTCTGGGGTCTTGGTTGGGGTGCAGCAACTCCGCGCTCCGCTCTCCGCTTGCACTGCCGGAGCCGCGGCCCCGCCCGGGAAAGAGCTGCCGTCGGAGTGAGACGCCGGGGACTCTGGGCTGCGTCTTAGTCATGCCCTGGGCTTGGTCTCTGCTTCCGCGTTTGGTTCCTTTTTCCCCTTTGGGGGTGAGAACCAGGCGTCCCCTTCTACTCGCGTTGGCCAAAAGCGGGGTCCGAGGTGTCAGTGGAAAAGAGGGTGGCGTTTCTCTTTTTGCCGGTGCAGAGAGAACTTGGGGCGGGAAGGCTGGTCGTGGCTCCCCGGCGCGCTAAGGGCGGACGGACCAGGCGGCTGGGCCGCGCTGCTCTCGATTCCTCCCGCAGGGTCAGCGGCCGCGGCGGGGTTGGAGGTCAGCCCTGGCTCATGTTAAACTCTGGGTATCAGTTTGCCCGGAAACTCATGTTGAGGACTTCATCTTAGCCTTGGGAATGTACCCAGAAGCCAAAGGGACACCCCTGATAGGGACTGGCCCTGAGAGGAGGCTGTCGTTTCCCCGAGCAGATGAACTCGGGACCCGCCCCCAGGGTGTGCATTTCGTAGTCAGGGTCTCCTTTACCGCCTCAAGCCCTGAAGCCACTGCCTTGCCCCAAAATATGTTTATCCTCTTTATAATTATTTAGAATTTATGCCTTAATCAGTAGTTTTTTACACTTTGGAGACTTTTAAGTTTTAAATCAGTAAATCTGTAATAGGTACCAGCATCTATAATGTACTGGTCGAGGGAAACCTCCACAAAACTTTTCCTACTTTATGATACAATCAATGCTCCAGGCATGGTTCACCATCCAAATTCCCAGCTTCCCTTGTGTGCCTATCAGGAGGAGGACAGGTGAATATTGTTAAAGATACACGCAGCGACTCTACCTGGGATGATGCTGCTAAGTAAAAAAGCAGTTAAGTGAAGGAGGAAAAACAGACACTTATGGAAGATAGGAAGATTATATTAAGAAAACTTTACGTGTATATGTTTATAAATAACTTTCATGTCAGAAACTCTTAATAGTTTTAAAAAATTCTTCAGAAATACTTAGAGGATCATGGTTAACCTTCACATTTAAATTATTTTGAGGCATATATGCTGGCATATATATTTTTTCCCCTAAGAAATTTTCTCTTTTAACTCAGAATTTCCCATTGAGAAATTTGCTAACCTATATACAATTATAATTAGTTGATTAAAGTTGCATGGCTGTGCGATGGAGATGATGTTTTTGTTGTTGGTGGCACAGCAGTAATCTCTAAGGCAGGACTATTTTCACTGTGGTGAACTGAGAGAGGGTAAGAAGACAAAATGCTGAGAATATTTTGGCAGCCCGGGAACTACCCGATGGCCTAGTGTTCTGCTAAATTACATATCCATGAAAATCCCTGGCTCATTTAACAAATGTTTACTGCGTACCTACTCGGTGTCACATGCTTTGCTTGGTGGTGATGATGTCCATTGCCATTGTCTGTGTCTTCCCAATCCAGTTCTGTGTTCTAGTGACTGAAGACCTTCTCACTTTTAACATTTTACATTCTCAATGAAAGCAGTATTTCTATGTGTATGAAATTTATTTTATTTTTTCATTGGAAATTGTTAATTTCTTGTTGCTTAAGGTGTATCCTGCACTGTTAATATGTGCTATAGACCCCGAAAATGAATTTTGGAAGTGTTGTATTAAATGAAATTTGATTAATTTGCTTCTGTTTTTTTTAAATATCCGTATCTCTTAGATCTCAATATTGTAATGTATATGAATTTCTAATTTGAATATAATGTGTGGGCTTTTCCAAACTGAATTAACTTTAGAATCCTAATTTCTAGGAACCTGGGAAAGTTCCCCATTGAAGACATTTTGGGAAATGTATTTTAACTCTAAAGAGTTTTATTTGTTTTTATTTTTACCCATTTATCTCACCCCTTCTGCCAACAGAAGTGATGCCACCAAAAAGAAATGAAAAATACAAACTTCCTATTCCACTTCCAGAAGGCAAGGTTCTGGATGATATGGAAGGCAATCAGTGGGTACTGGGCAAGAAGATTGGCTCTGGAGGATTTGGATTGATATATTTAGGTAAAGTAAAACCTTAAATTACCAATTATTCTTATTTCTGTGACTGTAGCTGTGATTACTTAGTGACATTTTAAGAATGGAAATATGGAATTCATATGTGTACTTTATTAAAATTCATGATTGTACTTGATTAAGTAATAATATAGTACAGTGTCTGGGTTCAAGACATCACTGACCCACTCCTTGTTGTCCACGTTTTTCTAAATAACTCTTAGAAGCCTTTTTAGAGCATAATTTTACAATATGCCAGACAAAATGCTAACTTTCTTTTTTTTGAGAACTTGTTTTCTTAGAAACATGCTTTTTTCAGATGAGAAACCACAACTGTATAGATAAAAATACTTTCTGTGAATCTTAATCATTAATATTTAGGCAAAGCAAAGGTCTAGTCATTTCTTAACTGGGCTCTACTGGAGAATTCATAGATAAAACTTAAGGCATCTATTCTATGGAATAAATTAACTTCTCGTGCATCTAGAGTGGTCCTAGGGATGTGCCATTCTTGGGATAATTGAAAAAATAAACACTCAAAATTATTTTCTGTGGTCTGTGGTACAGTAAGGAACCATGGGCTGGGTAGGCCTTTACATTGAATTTAAGCATTTACAAATTACACTGAACTTTAATGAATCATTCAAGGCTATCTTAAATCTGTGTTGAGGAAGGGATATCCATTAAAAGATTGATGAATAAAATAAGGAAAATGTTAATGATTTTTAAAAATATACCCTCAAGAATAAATTCTCCTAAATGTACTGGCTGAGATCACATCTATTTCCACAGGAGTTTAAGGAGTTGATAAAATACCTCCTTTGAGGGAATCTTGGGTTCTCATGAAATATTTCCAGAAAAACATGCTTCATGGATCCTGAAACATAAAGATCCTCTTCTGATAAAACTAAGATTGTAGTTTTGAATGAATGAATAAAATTTGGTCAATAAGTAGCTGCTTATTAAATACTTCAGTGTCTAATCTAGTTGGAAAGACAAGACCAGCACAAAAAATTGTATGGGCCAAGTAAAGGGCAATTACCCCATTTAAAGGGTTTGAACTTGCTTGAAATTGCAAAATGCTGTGATTATTAAGTGCTAGATTTAGTGACATAGTCAACACTGTTCAATAGAAATGTAATACAAGCTACATATGTAGTTTAAAATTTTCTAGGAGCCACATTAAAATACATTAAAAGAAACAGATGAAATTATTTTAATAATATTTAATGCGGTATATCAAAAATACTATTTCAATATGCTCTTAACATAAACAAATGAAATATTTTACTTTTTTAAATGAAAGTCTTCAAAATCTAAGGTTTATCTAGTCTCAAGAGCCCAATTACCACGTGGCTCATGTGCTCAGTAACTACATGTGGCTACTGTATAGAATATTACATATAAAGACTATGTGAGAATGAGTATTGTTTGAAACTTGAACTTAGTGAATTCTGTATTACAGCAAAGCATTAAGATCTGTAGTATACTGTCTTGACTGAAGGTCGAGATACAGTGTTGAATACATTATTTCTGATGTGGCTGAGCTATAGGCTTGGATTCCATAGCTTATCACTTTTGGTTTTCTAATGTTTGTATTATCTGAGTAATTTCAAAGAACTAGAAAAAAACATTGACTATGTTGATCTTACCTCTTTTCTCTTTTTGAAATGTAAATATTATATGTATTTAAATTCAAATCAATGTTTAAGATTAATTAGCGTATGTCTGCATATCTGTATGTATTTATGTGTACACATAGTCACTATTGTTACTGTTACGATAAGGGAATATACTTGCATAGGCATGTGACTTACTTGCCCTATTCAAATGCAGAAAAATCTTTTCTTCTTTCAGTCTAAGTACAGTGTCACATACTTTTACTTTTTTTTTTTTTTGAGATGGAATCTCACTCTGTGGCCCAGACTGGAGTGCAGTGGCTTAATCTCAGACCACTGCAATCTCCACCTCCTAGGTTCATGCAATTCTTATGCCTCAACCTCCCAAGTAGCTGGGAGTACAGGCACTTGCCACCATGCCCGGCTAATTTGTGTATTTTTAATAGAAATGGGGTTTTGCCATATTAGCCAGGCTGGTCTTGAACTCCTGACCTCAGGTGATCTGCCCACTTCGGCCTCCCAAAGTGCTGGGATTACAGACGTGAGCCACTACGCCCAGCCTACTTATTTTTTTTATTACTAAAATAATACTATTTGTTTTATAATATATTTCAGGGTTCAGTATGTAATGGAATATTCTCTAGTATCTGAACTTTAAAACCTGGACCCTAGGAAGATTAGCGAGTGCACACCATTGAGGAAGGACTTTAAAGAAATATTTAGCTATTTTCAGAAAAAAGGCTCTGATACTTCAGATTTTGTGATAAAGATGTGTGTTCCAAATGTTGTAACTGTTCCATTGAAAGTGATGCTAATGAATCCTAGAATCAGTTTAACTTCACTAAACTTAGTTTTTACTTTTTTCAAAGCTATACAAGCAAATCAACATGAAATTACATCATGTTTTTGCATTTTACCATTGTTCTCATCACTTCCTCTATATAAATGAAGAGAAGAAGCAGTAAAATTCAAATTTTCCTGAATACCTTTGTGTCCAGCTACATTCATTTCAGGTATTCTTTCCAGATACCCGCTTTCAGCAGACACTTGATCAGCATTTACTGCCTAAGGCTGAGAAGAAACTAGCTGCTCTGTCTAGCTCATTGTGCATGTACAACTGTCCTCTAGCTTTGACATCAGTAGCCAGGGCCTTTTGGTAATCAGCAGCTTACAGTTAAGGGGAAGGGGCAGAGAAGTTTGGTATTTACTCTTGACTTGGAGAAATAATGTGCCTCTGGCATTAATATAAATAGTTAGAAGAGTGAAAAGAAGTCTGAATACAAGAACAAAGTCAAAGTTCTTTCTTTGAATATGAAAAGAGAAGGGGAGGAAAAAAGAAGAAAGGAAGCTGGTTTGGGGATGGGAAAAATTGCTATCATTTTAGTATCAAATAAGTGAAAAAGTTTTTTAAACTTCAGGAAGGAGAGAAAACTGAGGGTTAGAATTTAATTATAATGCTAGGTATAACATAGAACCAAGTAAATTAAGGGAGAATTGTGTAAATAATAGCAGAGGTTTTGGCATTAGGCATATATGACCTGAATCCTGACCTGATGAAGCCACTCACTCATCTAGTTACTTAATCCTTTGGGTTCTTTGTTTCTATTCTGCATAATTCTGATAACAATAATTGTGAGGAGAATTAAATGATTTTGTTTTTAAGGAACTTGATAAGCATTTAATAAATGTAATTTATTTATTTATTTCCTTAGACATTCCCATTCTTAATACTGGTGCCATAGTGGGGCCAGGCTCAGTGGCTCATGCCTGTAATCCTAGCACTTTGGAAGGCCCAGGCAGGTGGATTGCCTATGCTCCAGCCTGGGCAACTTGGTGAAACCCTATCTCTACTAAAATACAAAAAATTAGCTGGTTGTGGTAATGTGTGCCTGTAGTCCCAGCTACTCAGGAGACTGTGGCATGAGAATTGCCTGAACCTGGGAGGAGGAGGTTGTAGTGAGCCAAGATCGCACCACTGCATTCTTATTTAGGTGACAGAGTGAGACTGTCTTAAAAAAAAAAAAAAAAAAAAAGTTGCTGCCATAGTTAAGACGATGACAAAGAACTCCATTGGAAGGGTGAATTTTCTATTTATTCTATAAATTTTGGTGGATTTAACTACTAATGTGGTAAAACTGAGAACATAGAGAATGTCAACAGAAGACTTTATGACATTTTACTGAAAAAAGCTCCCCCTAAAATTTGCTATAGTAGTGAAAAGTTCTCATATAAGCTGTATTTATCTGCTTCAGATATGAAAGCTATTGGTTTTAGAAATTATTCAAAATTGAGAATAACAGAATTACAGGATAAACTTTAGCCATATTCTTTTGAAGGTTGATTATATAAGTAAAAGATATGATTTATCTGTAGAAGTTTTAGTTTCTTGAAGGTGGGCACGGTGATGACCATTTAGCATCTTTGGAGTGTCAAGCACAGAATAGATGTTCAACAGTTATTTGCCTAAGAAATTGAGACTGAGATTGGAGTACTTAACCCACACAAGCTAGTTTGCTTTGTTCTCTTCCATAATTATAGATGTCACTCTTAACTTTGGTCTACTCCTATAGATGAGTATCCTTAGTCACCAGGAAAGTTGAGACAAGGCAACTATCATGACATCATCTAAAAGAATGTGCATATGCTTTATTGACAGGGCATCAGTAGCAATATCTTTTAGATATTATCTCAAAGCTTTTATAAAGAATAACATATTTTTATAACTAAAGTTAACTGTGGTGAAGCCTAAAAATCAGATCATTTATCCATGGACAGATGTTTAAATTTCATCAAAGTGACTGCCAGACATTTTTGGATCATGCTGTCAGATTAGCCTAATTTTGTGCTTTAGAAATATAGAAGGAGTTTTTTGTTGGGGGTAGGTTTTTAAAAATTATCAAAGTTTAACTCAGTTATTTTACTGATAAGGAAACACATATTTTTAACAAGTAAATATAAACCACATACATAGAATTTGTTTTACTTCTTCATAAAATAATTTTTTACTATCTTTATAGTGAGCTATAATAGATTGATTTTAAGGTATGCAGAATAAAGTTTAGAAGAGTACAATGATAATGCTAGCAACAAAGTAGTGTGTTGAAATACATATTGCTTCATGACATATTACGTTATTAAATGTTATTTTGGTAGTGTTTTATAGAGAGAGCTTTGAGATAAATAGCCTTATTTGACGCAGTGCAACATTGTGGTGCCACTGCAATTGTTATTAGGCAATTTTGCAAATGATACTGTGGGAATGAAGAAAAGAATTGAATAAATGTGAAAATGAGAAAAATTTGTACTAGAAACTATAGTATTTATGATAAATTAGTTTCCAGAAGGTGTAAATAATAGGTAATATAAACTCAAAATGAGGAAGGGATCACTTGAAATTTTGTAAATTTAATGTGTTTGTTGGACTGACAGACAAGAAATAAAAGTCTCTATAAGATGTATTTTAATTTTGTTTATATTTAAATTTTGAGTTTTTAAAGAGATAGCAGTACCCAATTATCTATCAGTTAAGAAATCTAGGTGTTTAGAAAGTTTGGGTTCCTTCCATTAAAATGGAGACTTATAAGACTTGGCTTCTTCATTTTTTTAAAATATCCATTTTTTAAGCATATTTCATATTATGATTCCTCTTCATTTTCAACACTTTACTGTCAAATTCTTTTGCCTTAAGGGAAGATTTATAAAATACTCTGTCCTTCAGTGCATTTATATATTATGTCTCTTCCACTGCATCTGTTACTATCTTGTAACTGTTTACAGTGGTCAAGGTTTTTTTTTAATTTGAAGCCTATTGCTATGGGGAAATTTCTTCTTTCTGAAATGAGCTCACCTCTATTGCCACACAATAAAAGAATTCTCAGCTTTTGAGAGCTTCTGGCTTCCTTATGAAATATGGATAGACTTCTGCTTCTGAAGTGTTTTAGGTTTTTTTTTTTTTCTTTAGATAAGGAAGAAGAGGAATAAATAGTATGAGGTGTGTTTCTTCTTTTAAGACACAGGAATATCTATATCAGATAAATGAGAAGAAAATTAAGAAACTTTAAAGCTCTAAATGAGAGAGCTCATTAGAAATTAGCTACTTGGATGATGAAAATTTGTTCATCATCTACACTTAAAGGCACTTATGGTTTTTATACTGCTTAGATACTTGATTTTGCAATTAGTATTTCTTTAGAATGTTCGTCCCTGATAGCTCCATCACATGGACTGAGTTATTCCTGAACACTCTATTGTATGCTCCATGAAAAAATATTTTAAGGAGAAAAGAGAGAAAACTCAGCAATTACTTCAAGATAATTGTTGAGGACTTCCCTTGTCTCTTTTAAAAGCATGGCCTTTTGTTAGCCAAGTGGATTTATCTTTTCTTTAACATCTTCTATCAAGTAATACTTGAGGGAAATATTCTGTAGAAAGACATCCATTGAAGGCCAGAAACATCTACAGATGCAATGTGATCCCAAGCAATGAAGCATGTGGCCCTTCATTGGCATTATATGATAACAGGAGGATCTTCTGGCAGAAGAACTGACTTTTGCTGCGTTCTGCATGCTGCCCCTCCAAACCCATCTTTGATTGGCACCTATGCCCTATTGAAACTGGCATCACACCTTCTGAATGGGCACAGTGCCAGGCTAGCAGATGGGTATGGGCAAAAGCATGCCAGAAACCCAGTATGTGAATCAAGTTTAAGTATCAGGGGCCCAAATTCCCATCCAGGGATATAAAAACTACAGTCTGTTGAGAGCTTTTTGTGCTTAAGGTTAAAGGACATGCCATTTCTACTCCAGCTTAGAAGTTGATTAATTTTGAAAGTCAAACAGCAGCTCCTGTGGCTGTGTCAGGCAAAATCCTATCTTTGGTGAATGAGAATTACTACTTCATGTAGGGAAGAGAAAGTATTGTAATGAAGTTTCCAATGAGAGTTACTCTCCTGCAAGTGCCTCCAGCACTTAAGCAGCATGCATTCAGTGGAGATGAATATTTCTATTCTCCAGCAGAGCCAGGTGCAATCAAAGCCAGATCTTCAACCTGCTGCAGTAAAGAACCCTAAATTTAGAAAGGGCAGGCAAAGTTTAGAAGAACTCCTTGGTGGCAGGCAGCTCTTTTCACTATGAACTGATGAAGCTTCACAAAATTGTACAAAAGAGATGAAGAGAAAACTCCAAATAAAAGACCTTCAAAAAATGTCATCCTGAAACAGAAAGATTTTTAATAAACCAAAGGAAAAAGTTTAGTCCTTTCTCCTCAATGCAGAAAATCTTCAGAGTTTTCTATCAATAAAAACTTAGTTAACCAAAATGTTAGAACCAACTTAATGCATAAGTAACAAAACTTTCTATTTTTACATTTATTTCATTGCATGTCTATCATGTATATAAACTTTGCTTCTTGAATAATGGATTTTGCATAAAATTGAGTTCTAAACATCATATTTCCTTCTGATTGTCTCACACCCACTACAGAACTCCCCTCCCCCACCCCCTGAAAGAGGGCACTCTTCCTTCTGATCACTTTAATCATATCTTCTAAATGCTCTAAAATTTACAGGAATGCCTGTAAGACCAGCTGTGGCCAAGAGAAGCTTTTCCTAATCGCCTTATAGCCGTTGCTTTTGCTTTTTCACTGTGTAAACTTTATCTATGGAACAGATTCCATGAGACCGTTGTGAATACTTCAACGTATTCAAAACATATAACTGCCACAAATTAAACTACTAAAACTAAAGCTGGTGCATTGTAACTGCCAAGTAAAACTGGCACGTCCCTCTGTCAGACTGCAGGAGAGTGTGCCATACAGTCCTCGGAAAACACAATTCATCCAGAAGCACTCTTGTCACTTGCTCTGATATTAAACCAGAGAAAGTGACATTAATTAAAGAAGTGACATGAGCCAACAAAGGCAATGAATTCTCAGCTTTGGCTCATGTGCAGACCTTAATCCAACCTGGTCTGCTTAGGTAGTGTGGCTATTTCTGAAGAGTAACTAATGTGGCTACTCTCACCCCACCTCCTCTCATCTTCCCATTCTGGAACACAGTTTTAAGGAACTATCATTTTATCTCCAGGGTTGGACTAGTCAATTGGTACACTGGTAGTCATTGCAGGGCTTCCCAAAATAGTGGGAAAGTGGTGGCATGTGATGCTTTTATTGTACTTGGTAATGGTGGGAGATGTACAACTAGAGGTAGAGGAGAGTTGGTCTAACAAAAAGGCAAGCAACAGCCAAATAGCAGAGTACCTAGACTTGGTAGACTGGAAGCAAGGAAGGTGTGCTGCTAGGACTGGTTGTGGAAACAAATGGTGACTGGTAGGCTTTATGGAAATTCCGACATGCTAAAGAGGCACGCTGGGGAGTGTTCATAACTTCTCTCTGTCTTTGTTCCCGTGGTGTGCTTTCACACGATGCTCACCTCATCATTTCAGACGGTCACTATTTTGTATGTTGTCTTTTTTACCTGTTTCCCCCAACATGTGTGCACACAGACACTACATTATAAACTGCTTACAGGCAGTCACTGACAGTGCTTAATATGGCCTTGCATGTTACTGTTCTTAAAAAGTGATTTGTTAAATTAACTCTAGAACTGTTCTATTATGATTTTCCCAGCAAATAGGTTGTCTGAGACAAAAAATTCCATGCTCTATCCTATATGTGACCTGTGTGTAAGGCTCTGTACTTTCAGATTTAGAGAAATTCTTTTGTATCTTTTGGGGAATTTGAAGGGCAAAAAGTATGTGTTTATTTTCTTTTCAAGTATATTTTTAAAATACAAAGAAGCTGTGTACTTAATCCATAGATTGTAGAATTTATTGTGAAGAGTCTACTCTGTTAATGCATAGTATGGAGAAGGGACTAAAAAATGGGCATTGTGTTAAGACAAATCAGTTTTGTCTTTCTAATAAAACAGTTCTTCTGAGTAGTATTTAATTGAAGTAGAACTAATAGCAAGTGTAAACTTTTGTGGGGAAAAGCATGGTGTTTACTATTAAATGGATTGACTTACAGGCATGTAATATGCATAAGAAATCAAGTTTTCAAAGAATGTAAACACAACATTTACAGAAAATAAATTATTGGGATTTCTTTTAATCCAAGTCTGTGAAAGGTTTGATTAAGGGTTTTGTACATAGTCAGAAGCTTTTGTTATGGTTTCTGGGCAGGGGTATTTTATGTTTGAGATTGGGAATTTTCTATCCACATAATTAGTCATGAGGTTTAATGTACATTTTTTTTTTATATATCAGGCAGACAATGTCTTCAAAGAGACAGCAGTGCTGCAAAGGAGCAAGAAAAGAAGGCCAAAGTTGACACACAGAGAGGCAAAACAGTGTAGGAAAAATCAACACGTTTTGCAAAATCAATCATTGAAAATGTGTCAGCATTCAGGAGACTGTCTTTAATTTGCAATCCAAGTGAAATAGAGTATTTAAATATGAGAGGCAGTATTATTGAGCCCAGCATGCCTGCTACCACTTGTTTGACTAGCTCAGAATAGAACACTGAGAGGCAAGGGCTCAAAGTTAAATGAACATTTATACATTTTAAAATCAAATGAAAGATTCAGAGTATATTCATGAATTAATTTTTTTTTTCAAAGCCCTAAATTTAATCAGCTGGAATTACTTTAAAAGTGTCATTCTATTTAACTTTTGGAAATGATGAATTTGCCTTTTAATAGGGATGCTGTATTTTATCATGAAGATGAAACAAACTGTCTTTTGTTAATTATTCCCCAGAGACACTGGCCATTTTTCTCTCTCCAATGCTTAGTGTGGAGTAAAGGCAGCTTCCCGCAAATTTATTTCAAGCAAGAGCAATCGGAAGCTTCAACATGTGTGAAAGAGGCGCACAGAGAACATAGCTTCCATTTCAGGTATTCTGAGTGCCACCTAATGAACCTCTTAGAGATAATGTTACTAAAGCCTCACTGATGAGGCCATGAACATAGAACACAGGAAAGTAAAAAAGAATGAAAGAAGAGTCTGGTAAAGAGTAGTAGATGTGTCAAATGTGTCTGTAGTATCTGATAAATGCTGGGACTAGTTTTTGAATTCTTTTTTTAGGAAATTATCATCTTTATTATCAACTACTAAAATCTTTCACTTAGTGTGTGCCAAGCTCTGTGTTAAGTGCATTGCATGAATTATTTCATTGAATCCTCTCAGCAGCTTAACTAAGGAAGACATTGAGGCCTAAAGAGGATACGTAAATTACCTTCTGGCCACAATTTTTAAAATGTCTCAAATATTAAAATATTTGAGCTCCAGTCCCTGCCCTACTGATGTCCCTTGTCAAAGAACACTTGAATTTATTGTTAGCCAGATAAAACAGTGGCAAATGGCATGCTTATGACAAGCTCATTTCTAAAGTAACAGCAAAATATGTAATTGATAGTATTGGCAGCTAATTTAAGAAATCTGTTAGTGATGATGCTAATAATGGTGTCATTTTCATTCAGATTGACAACTCAAGGCATAGAGCATCAGTGATATGTTTTTGATATTATTAAGATCTCAAAATCTGTGAAAGAACATCTGATATTTATAGTAAACCTAATGTTAGGCACTGGAAAAATTACATTAAAAATGTACCATACCTCAAACAATATTTTTATGGAAAAAAGTGCGCATAGTCATCTAATAGTTCATGCAATCTGATGAGAAAGATTTGTTGGATTTTCATGCCTTTGCAAAACTGAATACATTTATCTAGTTTTATGCATTTTATACATTTGTTTTGAGTCAAATAAGTAAAAGGAAGATCCAAATAGACCTGTTTAAATCCCTATGATATGATTTTAATAAGCACCATATAAAAATGGATACCTTTATAAATATTGAATGATTCTTGACCATATTTTTTTCCATTGGATAATAATTTAAAGATACACTGCTTAGAAAACTAGGTCTTTTAAAGAGTAAAACAAACAGAAAATAAGAAAAATAGGATTGTGTTAAAGAACATACCCCTTTACAGAATTTGTTTCAGATACCAATATATTTTATTTATAATAAAAGTCTAGGTTTTGAAAAATTATTTTTAAATAACTAAAATTAGTTATTTCAAGATATTATACAGTAGTAATGATTATTACATACTCACAAGTGATTTCATGAAGAAGTTAGAACATGTAGCGGTAAACTTTGGGGTGTTTATAATAAAGAAGAGATATTAGCTATTGCAATGCAAGATTTTATACTAGAATACTTTTTAATTTGGTGTATATATATTTAACAAGGAAAAGAATGAACAAATGCAAGTTACTACATTAAATACATGTTCTTGAGCACTTACAGAGATATGGGATTATTAATTTCAAATTCTGGAGAATGTAAAGAAAAGCTATTCATTATGCTTGGTCTTATTTCTATTAAAAAGTCATGTGTTACAGTTCTGTCTTACATCGCCAGTATCAAATGTGAGTATTATAATTGAGAATGGAGAATTAGTTATGTAAACCTTTTATTCTACACAGTATTAGGAGGATAGTAGAAGAAAAAGTAGTAAAACTGACCAAAAAAAAAAAAAAAAAAAAAATCCCACATAAGACAAAGAAAAGTGAGAAGAAAACAAAACAAATCTGTATAGCTAACAGGTAAATGTTGCTGTGTGATGAAAAGAGGAAGAAAAAAATTGTATAGTCTTCCACAATAATCAGAATGTCTACTCTAGCAGAAAGCTTTTGAGCAAGATAAATCTTCTGAAATTAACTAGTTTAATGTAGATTGACTATAATAAAGAATTCCTGTAAAAAAATAAGTATTTTTTTTTTCGGGTGGAGCACTTTTAAGTTCCTTCTGACTGTGAAAACCTGTTAAATCCTGAAAGATGGAGTTAAATTTATAAATGATCTGTTGATATTGGCACATGGATAGAGGCCTTAAGGAAATAATGAATGCAGCTGGTAAAGAAGCAAATCTCAGTCACAGAAAAATGAGATAAAGAGACCATCAAGAAGAAAAAATAATGGCTATATTATCTGTTTATGTAGTGTATCTTTGGATAGTAAGAAGATCACATGAAAATGTAAAGACATGCAAAATAAAGACCATAATGAAAAACATAAGAAAGATTTCCCTTATTTGCAGCCTGATTTCAGCATAAATACTAGAAAGTGCTTCAAAAAAGCAGGAACAGGGCTAAAGATTCTTACATAATAGGTTTTTAAACCTAAATTACAGAACTTACAATATTATTTAAGGAAGAGAGGTCAAGAACTACTTCAGCCCTCACTTCATACACTTTGAAAATAGGATTTATGATGGCTAAGAAAAATAATAGCTCTCATTCTATTGTATGGCCAAATTGAATGTCTCTTAGGAGGTAGAAGGAAACATTTGAGGTCTTAGTAAACCTGAAATTATTTCTTAATAGATTATCACTAAGATAAAACAGGCTTGAAAGTAGTGTGTGATTGAAAATGACTTACAAGAGATAAATGAGTTAAACTATTAAGAAAAGATTTGATGATATAAAGCAAAACCAGTTTAGTAAAACTTGGGGGATTTTTTTTTAAGAACTATAAGTTATGAATATAGAATTTTATAACAAAGTTCAAATTTCTCAATTAGATTGATGAACTGTGGTTCAAAATTATAGGGTTAACAGTTAAGTTACATATCAACCCTTTAGGGAAGCTCAAAATGTATTTAGTTAATAATAATAAAAACAGCTAAGTTAGAGTTTATTAGTGTTAATGTTTGAGAAAGAGATAAATGGGTTGGAAGATATAATTTGTGGTAAAATGAAATAAATATGTAATATATACCACAACCTGTAAGTAACTGGCCAAAGGCAGCAAAGAAAAATGACAATTATATAAATTAGTGTATTATAATAAAATTGTCAGTTAACTACATTAGAAAAAAGTCTGTGAGCCTCAGTTAAAGAAGATCACTGACAGAACTTCATAATCAGTTGCCAAAAGAGAAATACTTAAAATGATAAGATATAAAGACACTAAAAGGTTAAGGTTTTTCATGCACATATAACTAAACAGTAAAGCAATAGCAGGATCTGTTATTATTTTATATTCCACAGTAAAAATCATTAAGAGAGCTAAACAAGGATGTATATAGGGTAAAAGGTTAGTAGAACAAAGTGAAAATGTAATGATAGAATATAATATAATGAGAATGCTATTGTTTATTTTTATCCTTGAAGAGAAAGTAGCAGACATTCAATAAGAAATTATTATACATATGACTGAAGATACTATAAATAAATTCAGAAAATGACAAACCAGTTACCACTAAGTCTTCACACTGGTCTCTGTGGAACCCAGGTGTAGAGGTGAAAGGGGTAAGGGTTCTGGTCTCCCATCCCATGTTTCAACCTTAGCATTTCTGCTTTATCTGTTTCATTTTCAGGCTTACCTTGTGTTATTGCACATCACTTTATTGTGCTTTGCAGATACTGTGTTTTTTTACACACTAAGGGTTGTGGCAACCCTGCATCAACCAAATCTGTCAGTGCTATTTTTTCCAGCCGCGTGTGCTTCATGCATGTCTGTGTCGCATTTTGGTCATTTTGACAATATTTCAAACTTTTTTGTTATTATATCTTTTATGGTGATCTGTGATCAATGAGCTTTCTTGTGATTATCATAATTGTTTTGAGGAATCATGAACCACACCCATACAAGATGGTGAATTTAATTGGTAAATCTAACTGCACCACTGACCAGTCATGCTCCCGTCATTCTCCCTTACCTCAGACCTCTCTATTCTCTGTGATATAACAATTTTGAAATTAGGTCAATTAATAACCCTGAAGTGGCCTTTAAGTATTCAAGTGAAAGAAAGAGTTACGCATTTCTCACTTTAAATCAAAAGCTAGAAATAATTAAGCCTAGTGAGGAAGGCATATCGAAAGCTCAGATAGGTTAAAAGCTAGGCCTCTTACATCGGTTAGCCAGATTGTGAATGCAAAGGAAAAGTTCTTGAAAGAAATTAAAAGTGCTACTCCAGTGAACACACGAATGATAGGAAAGTGAAGCAGCCTTATTGCTGATAAGGAGAAAGTTTCAGTGGTCTGGATAGAAGATCAAACCAGCCACAACATCCCCGTAAGCCAAAGCCTAATCCAGAGCAAGCTCCTAACTCTTCAATTCTGGGAAGGCTGAGAGAGGCAAGGAAGCTGCAGAAGAAACGTTTGAAGCTAGCAAAGGTTGGTTCATGAGGTTTTAAGGAAAGAAGTCATCTCCAAAACATAAAAATGGAAGGTGAAATGGCAAGTGCTGATGTGGAAGCTGCAGCAAGTTATCCAGAAGTTCTAGCTAAGATCAATGGTAAAGGTGGTTACACTAACAAATTTTCAGTGTAAATGAAACAGCCTTCTATTGGAAGAAGATACTGTGTAGGACATTCATTGCTAGAGAGAAGTCAGTGCCTGGGTTGAAAGCTTCTAAAGACAGGCTGACTCTCTTCTTATGGACTAATGCAAATGATGACTTTAAGTGGAAGCCAGTGCTTACCATTCAGAAAATCCTAAGGCCCTTGAGAATTATCTTTATTATCTATTCTGCCTGTACTCTGTAAATGGAACAACAAAGCCTGGATGACAGTGCGTCTGTTTATAGCATGGTTTACTGATTTTTTTTTTTTTTTTTAGTTTTATTTTTCTTATTTTAAAATTGTGTATATTTAAGGCATATGTCACAGGTTTTTTTTGTTTTGTTTTGTTTTTAAACATATGAGTGAGAACAACTGTCCCTCACCCGTTTTGGGAGAAGAGGGGGAGATGAAGAGAAGTAGATTAAAGGGTACAAACATACAGTGAGCTAAAAGGAATGAATTCAGTGTTTGATAGCAGAGTAGGATGACTATAATTAACAAAAATGTATTGTACTTTGGTAATGGGCACCCTGAATAC